AGAGTCAGCTGGGCATACAAGTGATAATATGATAAATGTGAGTACTCCGCAATATTCACTATATTCACCATCTTGAACACTGATTGAAACAAAATAAAGAGACAAGTTGAGAAACAGTTTCTATAAATCAGGGAGAAAATCGGCCGACCCCCTACTGTGATATAGATTCATCCAGAGTGGGTGTGACCACAGAACGATGCCAGCAAGAGATTGAAAGCAAACCGTTCAGTCAAAACCAAAGCAGTTAGCCAATTCGCTAGCGAATTTGCAAATTGGCTGCCCCAATACTTCTGAGACTTGCTGTAAGAAATAATTGCGAGTCAAATATGGAAACTCTGCAGTTGCTCACAGACTTGTGTATCACCATTATTTATAAAAAAAAACACAGAATTTTGGAATATTTCATACATGTTTTGTTGTTTTACCGTAAATGTGAACAGCATGTAATCTATTTTCACTGGGTTGCATGTAAAATATAGGTGCGATTGCATTTTAGGCCAGCCCATTCAAATAAAAACTTGCTGGTGGCATGCAACATTTTTTTTTCAAATATATTTAGAAATTTAAAGTTAAGCTAAGTCACCTTTATACCTGAATTTTTAGCTGATTTATTGCTGCAGCGAAAGTAAATTCTAGGTTAAAAAAGTCATCTACAGTGTGATGTTTTGTTTTTGAGTGTCACCCCATGTGGTGTATAGAATTGCATATATAGCCTTTCAGTTGGAGTTACATTTTGTTGTAAAAGACATGACTGGAATACAATTGAGAATATCACAACAAATTTGACCTTTTTTTTCGATTTTGTTTTTGTTTTTTAGATTTATTTTATGTGTGAATTGCATTATTATTTGAGTGCCAACAATGAATTTTTAGGTTTAGTGACCAATTCAGTACTTATACTTGTTTCAGTATTTTCCAACACTCTGCAATCCAGACTTTTGTGAATTGCTTGACATTAAAATCTGGGTTGGTTCACTTAATAATACGTTTCAGCCATATGTGGTTGAAGCAGTATATTATTTTTAGTAGTTCATTTAAACTAGTTGTGAATTTTTAAAATGTATGCACTTAATATATTATTATATGTACATGTGCGTGTAGGCTATTAAACATCTACTTTTGTTTCCTTAGCAACGCTTCAGTTTTCAGAAAGATGTACATGTTATACATTTATTTATAATGTTGGCCAGCAAAATACTGTCTCCGACAGACATGTTTGTCAACTTCATAAGCCATTTTAATGATGTTGGCTTTTAATGATTTGTTTTGCTTCAAACATTTTTAATGCTGCAGGCCGTCATATAGGTTATTCATGACTTATTCGCAATGGAATTATGACTTGCTTGTTCAGTTGATTTCTGAATTCAGATAATGTGAATTTTCTACAAACATTCTTTAAAGAAGGTGGGGCTGGTGTAGAAATAGGTGTGTATAGTGATCATTCCAAAATACATTCTTAGCAATAAAATCAGTACATACCAAATACTTTCTAGATGAATAAACTTTGTCTTAGACACAAGCATGGTAGATATCAACTATTAATCTATAAAATGACATTACCAAACAAACTTTCATCTTCGATTATTTCCTCTCACATCAAGGTTGTGTAATTACTTTGTTTTGTTATTTGTTCAATGTGCAACTCATATTGGCAATTAGAAAATTATGGTTAGGGTAAAGTACGAAACACTGAATGTTGACAATTTACTCTATATTTTAAATTATCACACCTTACCGTGACGTCATAGTTTGTGTTCATATGCACAACAAAATGTGCAGCCATGTTGAATCATTGTAATCCCATATTTACGAGTTTGAAAATTTGGACTATCGGGGCATTATCTTCATGAAGATTTTTAACAAAATTATTAAGGTCATTGTGAAGTTTATCCATCAAAGCATTTTGTATGTACAATTTGTATCACAAGAATTGTATTTTCAGGTGATAACTATGCACCTCTATCCTATACCAATGTTTTAGTGATTATGAAATAAGATTACTTCGCATGATGAATATAAAAAAAAGTTATACTTCACCTCCATTAAATGCACAAAACATTTGAAAAAGTTACAGTATCAAAATAAGGGCAGTAATGTCTTTTTGTGAAAGACTGTATTTTATTTTGTGAGTTATCATTATTTAAATAAATTATCACACTTTATATTTGGAGCCTTCAAGTGTGCTGCTACTTGTGTCTATTTGCTCTACCTATGATTTTGAACTACAGGTCGTAGTACAGCTACCACTTGAATTGATTATCAGGACTTCACTGATTAATAAAGTTATTAAATATAACTGTAATTCTCATATTATTGTATAAGGGATTGGCCATTTGAAATCATGGGGCCGAGATGATTTGTTAAAAAAAGTTTAAAAAAAAAAAAATTGCATGCAAAGTGTTGCAAGAACAAAATTATGGCACAATGACATTCAAGAAAAATAAAATTGTACAGTTTCCAGCCACCCATGATTTCAAACAATTACCTCCTAAAAGTGCTTTTCATGTTGAGATTTTTAGTAAATCTTTCTTTTTTCCCTTTAAATTTACTGTTACTGACAGTAGAAGCATAGACTTGTTGTGGAAAACTATGATCAGTCATTTATGTATATACTGTGGAATACTTTATTTTCACTTGGAATTAATTTCCGCTATTTTCGCTGAAAGAATGATTCATTGAAAATAAAATCCAGCGATATACCACATTTCCTATATTTTACATTCAACTTGTCAAAAACCATTGAAAATAAATCTCATACAAAACACCAAAAAAGTCTATCCAGCAAAAATTAAATCCAGCTAAAATAAAGTATTTTACAGTACATGTAGTTATTTAGATTTTACCCTTTTAAATTTAATTTTTAAAATTTTTTTTACAGAACACACCTCACTAAGGCAGAGAGACGAATGGAGCGAAAAAGTATCTTGCCACTTATAAAACCTGTGAAAACAGACCAGGTAGGACAAACTATGCTATTTACACATGTCACTATTGATAATGTGTGTATGCCATTCGTATGCTTTAATATTATTTGAGTGTCTAACACTGTTGACCTTAGGCCTGTGATATATTTCCCATTTTTATCTTGGGCACTATTCACTACTAAAAATGTAGAATTGTTTCTCTGACCTATAATATTACTACTTTCTGGCGTTACTATGTATGATTTTAATTTTGTATCGTGATATGTTGTATTTGCTCTATTAGAAACTATTTCCAATACAAGTGCATGTAAACCAAAAATCACATTTGCTATATAGTGAATCATTAAAATAATACTTATTTTGACAATAGAAACAACTCAGTAATTTTTGTAAGTGTATGCGCCACTAATAGAGCAAATATGGTAACTTGCAGGGACTTGCCAGTGTTGTTTGTTTCTTGTGTACTTTTATTAGAATTGTAACAAGTATTGGTGGATTACTCAATTTGAAATTGTTTTTGCTAATTTTGCTGGAGATATTCATGTAATCTGTGAAAACAAAATTAAAACTTCTTAAAAAAAATGTTGCTGCATGTTTTTCGCACATAACCATTTTCTAAATGGATTTCAAGTAAAATAACTGTACAAGATACAGGTCTCAACATTGAATATTTGGAACCCATATAACCCGTAACTTTTGAGATAAAACTGGTGAATGTAAATATCATGTGTCATTATTTTGTAAAAATATTATAGTGTTTACATTGTTACACACCTGTGAAAGACACTAAAATGATCACAAACGTTTCCCTTATTGATAATGTACCTCAGATGAATTTTTCTTATGATATAGTTTTATTACAATTCATTTATTCTTCCCAAACTGGTAAGTACATTAACAACAGCTGTAGAAACATTGCAATATCAACAACAGAAGACTGAATATTTTTGATATATCAGGTGACAATATAAATGTTCTTTGTTCGGTTTTCATTCAGTATTTTTTCAAATCAAATACAATTTCAAGCATTTCCTAACCTTTAATGTTTAGAAATACTTAGCACTGTCTTTCTTGTAGATTGTTTGGCTGAATATCTTGATATATGGTACATACACATGTATTGTCATTGCTTTTGTACATGTACATGTTCTGTAGCAGAATTCCATTGACTATCATAGCTTCTCTAATAGAATAAAATGAATTGGTTAGATCAAATGAAATAAATCCTGGGTTTTATGCAAGTGAGCCCTAAATTGTTTATTTCTATGCATATTAGCTAGAATTATTCAACCAATATTTTTTATGTAGTTGATAATGAGTGCTGTGTTGCATTAAGGTAATCTGTCTTGAAAACTGACTGATAAAATCATGGTTTTAATTTAGCAATAATGTGAAATGTGTGTAAAATAATGTATGGCTCATCGGGTAAAAGGGTAAAATATATAAAAATTCTTGTACCCAGTTACCGGAAGCACAAAGTTTGTTTTATTTGACTTTAAATATATTAAAATTAATAAAAATAAGATTTGTGTTCTCAAATAATTCAGAGTTGACAGGTTACTGTAATTTGTTTTGCTAGTTCCTTCCTCTAAGACTGGCTTGATTGTCAGAAGTGCAATCATGCACTCCAACTTACCGTTGGGCTTCACTGTTCTTTTTTATTGGTGCTGTTCTTTTGTTGGTTGTGATATAGGTGTTGTATTTGTGTGGAATATACATGTAGGACATCTTGAAGCTCTACTGAATTGTTGATTTATTCATGAGTTGGGAAATGAGTTAGGTAATATGTGTACTGTAATAAATGCCCGCAACTCAAAACCCGCAACCCACATATTAAATATTTTGAATTATGTCTAGTGTGCTTCTATAGCAGAACTTGTGCATGACAGGATTTATTGGCTTTATGGTGAAAATGCATCAAGTATTGAGTAGTGTAACTGATAATCCTACATAATACTGATGAAAAGTTGAGTATCTGAAAGTGATATAAACATGTATATATTCTGCCATATTGTTCCTTTATCTGGGAGCACTATGCTGTTTGCCAGGTCAGTCTGCCATCTTGAATCAGACCTTCGAACAAATACCAGTGAAAAATGTATGTACATATGTACCAAATCTGAGCGAAATCTGTTTCTGTTGATAAATTTCTGGCCTAAAATGGCCACCATTTGACTATTTTGAATCAGTTCATGAAGTCAATGGATGTGCATTTGTATCCCAAGATATATAGAATAGAATAGAATAGTACTTTATTGGCATCGTAAAGAAAATATTACATTTCTATTTTGGTTATGGATATCAATGAAGTTGAAAAAATTAAAAACATTAGTAATGTATTAAGTAAAAATAAATAATGAAAATAGCAGCATTAGACTAAACTACTAGTATTTTGATTGTGAAATTGGTTCTTTTACTCGTATTTTGATAATAAATTTTGACATTGTTAGGCAGTGTTTGTTTTTTTACATTGAAACAAATAGTTACTTTAATAGAGCATATACAATTGTCTTATTCCTTAATTGCATTATATAGTCAAATTTTTATCTTTTGTCTTAGTTTCTGAAGTCTTGGTTTAACTCTATTGCATTGTACAAAGTATTTCTACGTGTATATATTACAGTCTATTAGGAGGCGTATTTCATCTTCTATTTGGTTACAATGTTTGCATAGTCTCTCATCCATGTGTCTATTGCTAATCTATGATTACTTGTTCCATGCTTGTTCTAAATTTGGCTAAATCTCTTATATGATCTTGACTATAAGTGTTATGTATTGTTCCATGTTGAGATTGTCTTTGTATGTATGATAAGTCCGTAACTTTGCATCGTCTCTCATATTATCTTTCTTCCACAATGCACTGTAGTATTCTTTTAATTTAGTTTGTAGTGTTTTTACAGGGATATTGTCTATACATTTATGTATATCAAAGATTTTAAGATTTTGTTGTAGCCTTGACAACCGGATCCCCGAATATTTATTTCCTTTCATATCCTGTAGTGCATGGTATGCCAGATTTTTATTTTCAATTCCTTGTATATGTTGGGAGTATTTAATTGCTCCACTGTATGTGTTTATGAGTGGTTCTCTCCGTAACTCCATACAGCATGCTATTTTACTTGATTTGTTATTCAAACAGAGAGCATTTCTACAGAATTTGAAATTTCTCTCTGTCTGTTTTATCCCAGATAAATGGATTTGTCAAGACACCCCAAATCTTTCCTGCATATCTTAATATTGGGATCTGTTCAAGAGCTTCAGTTTGATGTGTATATTGTTTGTATTATTTGGGTATATTTGTGATTGCACTTGTTGTGGCTTGTTTGCATTGTCTGTCAGTCTGCTTGATGTTGTTTGTACATTTCCATTTGATTTGAAAGTGGCTCCTAAGTAGGTATATTGTTCTTTGATTGTTATATCTTCCTGATTATATTTGATCTGTAGGGATTCTGCCCTGCTTTCAATTTTCCTGAAGATAACTATTTGTGTCTTTTTGGTGTTCAGTTAGTTGTGCAGCTGTGTAAATAATCTAGTGCTTTCTGCAGTCCAGTACATGTTAAGTTAAAATATGATCGGTTTAAGCATGTCTGAAATCGGTGAAGTTTATTATAAACCCTTTTTGATGATAAGGCATGGCCGTAATACACATGCATATAAAATGATGTGAACACATCCAGTAGCTGCCATATTTACACTCTTTTTAAAAACAATGGTGTGAATGCAAGTTTGTGAGATCCTTATCTTTTACCAGGAACTACTTTCGCCAGGGCAACTTTTCTTGTGAAAACATGGTAATTATGTTCTGAGTAAGAGCATGGCAGCTGCTATGTTCCATAATATCAGAGACATTATGTAACATTTCATTACTTATTCACTTTCAGTATTGTTACAAGCATGCACCTGTTTTCTTATAATTCCTTTAATTGCTTCGTAATAAAAGGACCAAAACATTTATAGTAACTTTAACACAAACTGTACTCTTATAAAATAAATATTTCATCTATCAGTCATTATGTAAGTATAGCCTATAACTTTTAAACTTTAGGAATGTCAGCCTCATTATAGCGCACTGGGAGATTGTCAGTCTGAATTAAAAAAAATTTTGCCACTCTATGCAGTATTTTTTTTATAATTTTATTCAATCTCTTGACATAATGATAGATGTGTCTCTGCTGAGTTAGCATATGTTAATCTGATAATGAGAAACAAATAATACAACACTTGTTATCCTTATCTATCTTACATCTTTAATTTATTATTATAACACGCTTGTTTGTCTTTTCATACACGCACACCTTGCTTATTGATAATTTATTACGAATCAATGGAAAACAATATTTGAATTGTGTTGCTTATGATCACATGGCTTGTATTTTAGGTTAATGTCTCTATTTTCACATAATTTGATATACATGTAGTTGGCTTTTCATGCAGTTTCATATATGCTTGGATTATTTTCTTAGTCTCAATGTAGTTAGGGTGTATACTGTGGAATACTTTATTTTCGCTGGAATTAATTTTCGCTGAAAAGGCTTTTTGGGTGTTTTGTATGGAATTTATTTTCACTGATTTTTGTTGAGTTTAATGTGAAATATAGGAAAAAAAGTATATTCGCTGGATTTTATTTTCACGGAATCATCCCTTCAGCGAAAATAGCAAAAATAAATTCCAAGCGAAAATAAAGTATTCTACAGTAATTTAAAGATTACTGGGATATAAATTATATATTAAAATATTCATTGCAAGGATGTATACAGTTTTTCTGCATTAGTATAAATCTAGCAAGCGGAGAGGGACAATTTATTTTTTATTTATTTATTAACACACAACATCCCCCGGAGGGGATGAAAAGGGTTACAAATCAGATATTAGTAAAAGAAAAATAACCACATAAAAAGTAAGGGAACAAAAAGGCATAAAAAAAAAAAAAAAAAAAAAAATATAGTGTAGTGTATTAGGTTACTGTAATGTGGAGATTTTATTTGTGGCTCTTGTTGTATAACGTTTCTATAATATTGAGGCCTTAATATGCT